CCTTTAGTCCTAGCCTCAACTTCTTTAGCGCCCTACGACTAATATAACTACGGGTAGCCCCTGAGTCTATGAGGGCCCCTACTCTACTCCTAAACACCTCTACATCTACTAAGATCAGTTGTCCCTTACTCTCCTTTTTCATTTTGGCCCAGGCTGGCATCCTCTCCTTTAACTCTTCTGCCACACCTGTGAGGGACGTGCCTAAAGAGACACTAACACAAGCAGTCTCTGGACAGTTATCTAGGCACGGGCCTGCAACCTCTGCTATAGGCTCATGTGCGTTGGGAGTGTCCTGTTTGCGCGCGCTCACTTCTCCACATGGCCTTGAAGTAGGGGCAGTTGCGACCCCTACTGGCGGCTGCCTTTTGACTGTTGGGCAGCCCAACGGGCCTGTCTATACTTAGGACAAAATTTAATTACGTGCGCCGGGTCACCACAAAATACGCACTGACCCATGTTCACGCGTTCCTGCCATAATTGTCGGTCCAAGCCCAAGTCTTCCCAGGGCCTTCCCTGCGGCAAGCCTGGATGCCATCCTCCTTGAGGTGCCCTTCCACTTCCTCGTTGTGGGGACCGGTTACCCTGGGGATTTAACGGGGGACCTTGACCCCTACCTCCCGCTTGGCGGTTTCCCTGTCCGCCAACCCCCTGTGCGCCCGGTCCTCGGCCTCCCATGGCCTGGCCCCTTTGGCCCTGGCCTCCTCCTCTACCTTGCGGCCTCCCTCCGGCCGCGACARCAGCGTAAGACCTCCCCTGCCCTACACAGCTGTACTCCTCCCCTAGGCCCCACTCAATCTGATCATATGGGACCTCTTCCGTACCACCCTCCTCTAATGTCAGGATCAAGTGATCCTTGGCCTTAACTTGGCCCGAGATGGTATGATCTTTCCACTGCTTCCTCTTCTTCAGGTCCTTATGCCAGAAAGTGGTAACTGGCATAGACTTCGACTCATACAGGACGACTTCTCTACTCAATACATCGTAAGTCATGCCGGCTTGCTGAGATTTGTCAAAGAAATGCCCGCGTAGGGCTTCTGGAATGGCACGATAAAATAACTGGACCAACTGGGGTTCAGTGACCCCGTGGTCCGGGACGACTACCAAGTCGTCCATAGTACCCTTGAGTGCCTTAGCACTCCTCCACTGCCGCGAGTGGATCGTTTGGAGCTTATCAGAGGCTCTAATGCCTC